TTCATCACTCCTCCCCTCCTAGCAAAGATTGCGCTAATTTCTAATAAACAGTAGCCAACGCTCATCTGAGCGGAAAGCGTCAAGAAAACTTCATAGTAGCGAGATTGTGGGCACACTCCGTCAACAAAGGACATTCTGCCTTCTACAGATACAATTACTGAGACTAACTTGAAACCCAAGTTCCAGTTGAGGGAATGCAGGTGCTTGCAAGCCTGTCTATCTACCTCTCCTCGATTTCAGGTTTGGGACTTCACTCAAAAAGCAGGAATAGTCACTTCAAAAGGCTTGCTAACCCTGCATACTCTATGTCTAAATTCCCTATATGACCAGGGACCGTATTTGAGAACCTAATCATGTTCCGAATATTGTGTTTTTGTGAGTTATGAGGAGTAATTGTGCTAGGATTTGAAACGTACCTGATACATCCCCTCACATAACAGTCGCTTTGTCGATCAGCGATTGTCGAGGGTCGGTGAGGAATTTCATGTTACATAACCTAGAGCAAAGACAGGTAATTGCGTCACAGTTTATTTGCGTCGCAGCAGCAATTGCAATGTCGCGACACCGCAATGTGGATTTCTCGACCAGTAGTATCCGATTAAAGCGTAACAGGACCCTTTAGTTCTGCTGTCGCATTCGTATTTCTTCAAATATGAGTATTTCAGTTGACTCTAAACCACCACAAACAGGATTTGCTGTCGACACTCCGGTCAGTGTTCACAAACAGCCAGATCAAGCGGTTCCGCCACTGAGAACATCTTATCCAGGTATATTGAAGAAACGGTTTTTTCCTTAGGTCATGTGGGAGGTTTTTGCTGTTCTTAGCGATTTCCCAGTAGAACCAAGAATGTTCCCCAGTAATATACTTGAAATAAATAGTGAAGAAACTTGGAGTACTATCATGGAATTTTCGTAATCTTTTATGATGGCTCAGCCCCCTCTAGTAACAGAGCCCTACACGCATAAATTCCAGTAGAGTTGGAATAAAACTGTTTATAATACTTCCGGAAGTTCTTATAGCAGAAAAGGGAGGCACTTGTCTCTTTCATGACTGGAGGGAGCAGCTTCCTGTACATATGCTAGCCCATAGCGGCGCGTGTCTACACCATGTGGACCATACAGCCATCAGGAGATGAACTGTTTTCCTTAAGTTCTTGGCTCTACTAGTCTCCTTAGGTTCTGGGTCTAAAAAGGTACTTCTTAAGAGAAGCTTGCTTCCTCGATCAATAAGATTACTTAGTATCATTACTGTTGATAAGCGAAGAGAAGAATATGACTCGGAGATACCAACGGCGGTCCGCAATGAGCCTCTCACATCTCTGTCCGCTCGAGCTCGACCGATTGAGTTGATGGATACCTAAGTGAATCAAAGTAAAAAAAATCTAAATCTAAATCTAAAGTAGCGTTGAAGAAAACTCGTCCAAGAATCCGTGTACCAAAAACATTGTGTTATCCCACTAAAAGAACAGCAAAAGCCTCCCTTATTTAATAGGGAGTCCTAGTTTGGATATGGCGTGAACGCCATAATGGCTCGGTTCGTTCATGGTTTTCTACCTAACAATATTACTCTGCATGGTCTGGTAGATATTTTGTGTTTGTAGATAATTAATCATATGTCGGGTGTGTGTCAATAGGTCAGGCCGCGCCGCGCAAATGTGCCAGTCTCAGTGTGAACACTTTTGCGGAATGAGCCATATATGTGGAAATCATGATCATTTCCAAGAGCGAGTTTTGTATGAGAGTTGAATGAGCTATTCATCACGCTCGAGCACCAAGCAAGCTTTCGATTTGCTAGTAAACCTACGCGCCGCGCGATCTGACCAATCGATGCACACTCAAACTTGCCCTTGGGTCATCATCGTCAGCCAGTTGGCTTCCTTCGACAATTCACATGATTTCAGCATGCGTAATAAATTTCCAATTAGATGAAGAGGCAGACACTTTGCATTTTAATCATTATGAAGTGGAGAAAGTGAGAAGGTGAGCGGTCACCGCACTGCACTCATCCTTTTCATTCATAACACATTTTTATTTTGTTGATTTTTTTATTAGCTTGTCCGGAAATGAACGCAGGTTCCACACCTGCCTTCAAAAGGCTTTATATGTTATCTGTGACTTTTATTGACTACGATAAGAGCCTCAAAAATCTACACATTTTTATAAGAGTAACTAGTGGTTCTATAACTTCAGCCTGAAATTCCGGTAAGCTGAATCGGACGGTTGACTAAGATAGCCTCCACATAGACACGATTAAAGACAAACTGTACACTCACCTCCGCGGTCAATCCGTTCCATGTCTGGGAATGAATGGGGTGAATGGGTCAGCGGCTCAAGAAGCGTGCCGCTTTTCCCGCTCAAAAAGAGCATGAGAACGGGACTGTAGGGTAGAGGTATGCGATTGTCTACATACTTCGATAGCGCGGCAGCGCTAGCGCGGCTGGAGTATGAAGGGAGCCCCGCGCATCCCTAGAACTGAATGGGTCAGCAGCTGAAATAGCTGCCGCTTTCTCCGCTCAAAAGAGCATGAGAACGGGCTGAGTAGTGGCAC